TCCAGGTCGTCCCAGCCATTGTGCACCAGGCCCTCCTCATAGCGCTCCAAACCGATGGCCCGCAGCCAGGCGCCCATGCCCGCCTCGCCCAGCCCGCTGGCCCGCCCGCCCTGCGGGCACGGAGCCTGAGGGAATAGGGCACGTCAGGGGGAGCACTGAGGGTACCCACACAGAGAAGCACCTGCAGACAGCCACTTTCTACCACGTGCTCTCGGGAAGGAGGCAAGAACTAGGGCTGATTCAAGTATTCCCCTCCCCTCCCCCAAACTCTCCAGTGCCCAGCTCAGGGCAGAGGGGACACTACTGAGTGCTGAATGGTGAAGATACCACCTCAGGTACACACAGACAGCCACCCCTCGTCCACACACCTCCTCTGCCAGGTCCTCCTGGATGCTCTCTCTGATGCGAGGTGGAGGGAAGCTGAGAGGCCGACCATAGTCTGAGGGCAGTCCTCGGGGTGGCTGCAGCTCCAGGGGGCCTGGCAGAAGCACTGAGCGGCCAGGCCCAGCAGGAGCATAGTCCACCTCACTCAGCGTCTTGGCCATCTGCAGCACTGAGCAGGAACGATCGTCCCCACTGGCTACCTCCCCCAGGAAAGTGCTGGTAGGTGAGGGGCCTGGGGGTAGTGGGGGTCTTGGATGGGCCTTGGGAGGTGGTGGGCCACGGGCCTCACCCCCACTGCGGCCCCTGACCACTGGCCCTGTCAAAGGGTCCAGGCTGGGGGGCAGGAAGATGGCCGAGTCTGGCAGTGGTGGTGGTGGAAAGTCTGGAGGGGGCAGTGTGCCCCCAGACTCCTCATCTGATGAGCTCCCCTCTCCCACACGAGGGGGCCGGTGGCGCCCAAGCTGTGGAGCAGGCACTGTGATGGCCACTTTGTTCTTGGTGGCAGGTGGAACAGGGGTCCTGGCAGGCGAGGGTGGCTCCGGGGGCAGCAGCTGGTGTGGGACCCCTTCAAGGACGTAGTAGGCAGGGTTATTGAAGCTGTTCTTGGGTGGGGGGGCCGCCACCCCTTCCGGCTCTGGAGCCCCCTCTGCCTTCAACCTGCATTTGAGAGCAGGATAATTAAGTCAGGACCCAGAGACCAAAGTGAAGGCAATGGGTGCAGTGGAAGGAGAACTGGACTGGGAGTCAGGAGATAAGGGTCCCTGGTCCTAGAATTGCATGAGACCTTGAGCACATTGCTTTCCCTCTCTGGCCCTCTGGTCTTCATCTCTAAAATCGAGTAGACATGGCAGTTGAACAGATAATCCCTAAACTTCCTAGCCTTACTTGCTAAAATTCTCAGAGCGTAAATCAGTGAAAACAGGTGCCAGAAGTCAGGGCAATGAAGGCCTTTAACGGGAATGATCAGCCAGAGTTTGAAAGCCTCTGGAGGCATCTGAGGCCAATCTACTGAGGAATCTTACCCAGGGATTTTTACTCAAGCCTGAGGATAAAACCAAGGCGACTGATAACAGGTGAAGATGAGTGAAAAAGCACCAAAACGTACCTAACAGCTTTTATTGAAGTTCAATCGACAGTTGGATATAATTAGAAAGTAAGCCTCACTTTCCAAGAGTATGATCCACAGAATACTAGTTCCCCAGGGTATTAATAGTTACTGTGTGGAAAAGAAGTTTCCTAGCACATTAAGTTTGGGAAACTATATTCAACAGAGTCGAAAAACAGTTTCCTTCCTGTCCACATGCTCAGAGCTTTTGCGAACACTAGTGTGCACTGGACTATCTAAGAAAAGAATCTAACAAGAACCGTTTCCCAAACCCATTTCCAATAGGGCACCTTGTAGGACTGTGGTCCCATAGTATGCACCGAGGGAAATCCCAGACTGAAGCCAAACAGAAAGCTCAAGCTAAATCTGTTTACATGGAAGGAACTATTGCAAAAACAACTTCTAATTCTATTTTTTAAGGCAGAATGGGGAGGAAAGGCTCACTGTGCTCCTTTGGATTCAGAGAGCCACGCCGAAGAGGGGACTGGCTGGCCAGAGTGGCCACAGGTGTAGAGCCCCGGTACTCCCAGCCATGGGGCATCAGAACACTCAAGCAGCAAATGATCCCCAGGCTAGCCGTGAGAACCAAACATAGCAATAGTTAAAGTGGGGGGGATAACAGGTTCCTTCTCTCACCTGGAGGTCAAGGGCTCCTCCCGGGGAGCGGCTCGAGGTGGGGCTGGGGGCCTCCCAGTTGGTGGTGGTTTCTCTGGTTCTTCGAATAACCTGGACAGTGGGCAGGAGGCCTCTGCGGGGGCTGGCTTGCGGTTCCCTGACCTGCCGGGGGTGTATAGGGAGGAGATGCGGTAGAGGGTACCCAAAGCCCCCAGGTACCCCTTCACGGGACACCCAGCACAACCCCAGCTCACCTGGGATCCTGGCTGCCTCGAGACACAGAGGGGGCTTTGCTCTTTGCTCCTGCCTCGTCCTTATCAATGCTGATCCACTCTGGGGGAGGAAGAGAAAAGAGACTCAGAGAGGACCTGGGGTCCTGGACCCTAGATACCCACTGGGCCTACCAGCCTCTCTCCAGCTACTCCTCAGGGCAGACCCACTCCCAACCATGGCTGCAGAACTTCCAAATATTCCAGGGATTCTAACATGCTCTCCCCATACCCCTGGTTCTCCTTTCCTAGACCTGCCCACACCACCCCATCTCATGCCCCATATCCCTCCCAGTGGAGCCCCCACCGTAGAGTCGCTCACGGGTGCCCAGGCGCTCTGTGGGCACCCGCACCTTCATGGAGCCACGGATGTTGCCTGTCTCCTCGCCACGGTGGGACAGGAAGGTCAGGAACTGCTGTGCTGTGCTGCCAATCATGGACTTGAGTGCAACCACACACTCCCCTGAAGGGCAGATGGGGTAGACCAGCAGATTGCCAAACCTTTCTAGGTCTCTGTTTGGCTTTCTGTGCCCCTTGGCACCCCTCACCCCTCACCCCTCACCATAGGATTCGTAGCCATCCATGGATTTGACCGTGAGCAGGAGGTGCTGGTCCTGCAGGTACTCGATGTCAGCCAGAATTGGCTTGAGCTAAGGAGCAGAGAGACCCAGTGAGGAACAAAGCCCCAACCATCCCCTCCTACCCGACACCACTCATCCCTACCCTTAGGCTCGTCCATGCTCACTCCCACTCATCTACTAGGGAAAAATCTCAAATCCTTAACACAGAGGACACAGCCCCACATGGGCCCTTCATAACATTTAACAGCATCGTAATTAATTTTCTGCATCCTCAATGGCTAACACAGGACCTGACATTTAGCAAAAACTCGAAAAGTTTTTGTGAACAAATAAATGAACCTATAACTTGGTCCCACACCCCTCAAATAAAGCAAATGCCCTCATCCTCATTCATGCCCAGCCCCCACCACACACATGCACATACACACGCATGCACGCACCCACATGTGCACGCACACCCATGTGCACGCACATACATGGACATGCTCCACTGCACCTCTCCCTGTGCCCTCACCTACAAGCCCAGGCCCTGAAAAAAGCCTCACCGTGGGCAGCTGGCGTGAAGACCACTGCACCTTGAGGAAGTTGATGTTGTCACTGCTCTGGGCATCATTCTCAAAGCTCTTCTTGTACTCTGGGGTCAGGTTGGGGAATACCCGACTGAGTGCCACCTCCCGGCTTCCCTTCCCCCTATCCAAGGGGGCTGACTGTCTGGGCACCTCTGGCTCCCCATCCCTCTCAGGCCACACCCAGCCCGGGGCCCCCCTCTGACCCTCCAGGCAGGTGGAATAGAATTCAATGAAGAACTTGGTGCGGCTGGCTGTCTTCACAATGGCCTCAATGCTCTCAAACTCAATGTAGGCCTGGTCTGAAGTCTTTGAGAGACCTGAGGGGTAAAGGGAAGAAAGCAGTCAGGAGGGCTGAGAGGGTGACAGGAGGAACAGGACAGAGACTGACCCCTGGAAAGAAATCAGGGGTCATGGCAGAGCAGTAAGGGAGGCCCCAGGAAGGAAGGCCAGGAGGGGCCTCCCCAATCCCCAGCAACCAATGGGGAAACCCCAAAGCCCAGACCATGGGCCAGGGCAAACAGACAACCCAAGGATGAGAGACCATCTAAGAAAGGGCTGGAGGATGAGAATGGCTGCAGGGATGGCCAGCCAACAATCCCCCACGCTACCAGGCACACTCAGCGGTACACGTGTGGTTCCAGGCAAATACAGATACACATGCACGTTTACACTCACACACATACACACACTCATGGACATGTACTTCTCATGATGCCCCAGGCACAGACACCCTCACACAGCACACATTCAGAAACATTACCGCACGTCCGTGTATACACCCAAACACATGCACAGATATATTCAATCCTATGCACATCCCCAGGCCACCACCGGTGCCTATCCACCCACAAGCACATCCAGAATAGTCACCTTTCTTAGAGATGAACTGAGAGGTAACTCCAACCTCAAATGTCCCAAACACAGGGGAGTGGTCGCTGGTGACGATGTCATCAGTGCAACCTGGGATAGGAATGGGAGCTCAGGGGCAAGCTCTTTATTCTCTGTTCCCACTTCCCAAAGCTAGGGCAGTGTCAGGACAGTGGCCACCCAGGACTGCCCATCACCCTGTCCGGGAAACTCTGACCATAGGAATTGCAGATGATGTGGGTCTCAGGGTAGGATTTCCAGAGAATCCGGTCACACCATGAAGGCACATTGGTCCGGACCTAGGGCAGGAGATGGCAGCATGGTCAGGTTCAATAGCTGGGGTTGCTCAGCATGAGCCCCACCCAGAGCTGCAGAGCTGATGAGGCCCTATACTCCCACCACACCAGGCCCCCGTGCCTAACTCCCTTCTTGGGTCCTTGTAACACTCAGGATCACCCCTAAGGCCTCAGAGGAACCACAGAAGCTGGAATAGTAACTGCCCAGACCCTTGACCAGACATGTACCCTTGATTCACTGCAGGCCAGGGGAGTCTCCCAAGCACTCCGCCCCCAAACCTGCCTCATTCCCTTCACTCACCCCAGTTGGCTTCTGCTTGTGCCAGGCATATGTGTCCCGGGAACCCCGCTCATAGCGGTAGGTGGGTGGGAAGGAGATCTCCTCCTCACCTAGGAAAGGCAGGGAACAAGTATGAATCAGGGCCCTGAAGACCCAGAAGTATCGTAAAGGCCCCATCCCTTAGAGACCTCCTGACAGGCCCACACTCACTGAATCGAAGAAAGACCTTGTGTTTCTCACGCTCCAAGTTGAGCTGGTCCACTCTGAGCAGGGGCTCAAACTCCTTCCTGCTGATGTAGTTCAGGATCTCCTGTGGTGAGGACACAAAGACTGAAAACTCCCTCTTGAGCCACAGCCAGAGTCAGAGGTAGGATCCCAACTGCCCCCCAGCCCAGCTCCCCTAGCAGTCACCACTGGCCCTGTTTGCACCTGGATATCCATGTCCAGGCGGTAGTTGAGGTCCCCAAACCAGAAGAGGTGAGTGAAACGCAGAGAGATGTCAAAGGCACTGAGCTGTCGGTCACCTAGTGAGAGCAGCCGCAGGATGTCCAGGTAGTTCTGGTTCCGCCTATGGTGGGGTGGGGGGAGGCCTCCAGGGTCACGAGCCAGGGACTGGCAGAAAGGTAAGTCTCTGGGGTCAGGTACGGGGTAGGGGTCAGGGTGCCTGGGGACAGAGGATATAGCTGGGAACAAGATTAAGGTCAGGAACAGACAGCAGTCTCGGGTTTGGACAAGGGAGAAGGGGCTCTCTGGGGACAGGGAGGTAGATGGGTCATGGACTGGGATATGGGAAAGGGAACAGGTCTGAACAGGTCTCAGGTGAATAGGGAATGAGGGTAAAGACTTGGGGAGGTGCCCCCCTCACCGGGCAGTTTTCTCATTTCCCGAGGTAAGGTGGCAATTCACAAAGCCAAATGAGGTGCCATTAAACATGAAGGAGACACCCACAGCCCCCTTGTTTCCTGTCAGGGCAAGCAAGAAAAGAAGGCCTGTGTCACATCTAGAGGGCTCCCAAGTCTCCCCTCTGCCCCTCGAAGCAGCAGTGGGAAGGTTCTCCCAACTCCCCCCCGCAGAGGCTTATGAGGCAGGCAGGCCCCTGAACACATCCCCTCCTTCCCTGGAGGTGCCACACAGATCACACGCGGTCCATCTGGATGGCTCGAGTTTCTCTGCATGTGTGAACAAGGCCCCTGGAGATCACAGGGGATCCCAAAGGTGACGCTGAAAGGACTTGCAGATTCTGAGCAGAATCTATGCTGAGGGACCACTGGACCACAAACCAAGAGACCTGGGCACTCTGCCAGCTCCTCCACGTACTAGTCGTGTGACCTTGGACAGGTCACTCAGCGACTCTGGGCCTGAGTGTTTTTTGGGTCTTTTTGAGTTTTATCATCTATGAAATAGAGGGATAAATACCTCTATTATCCTGGCCCTCCCTTCCTAGTGGTGCTGGAAGAGATTTAGAATATGAATATGCTTTACAAAGGGCTCTCTATAGGGGTGCCGGGTGGCTCAGTGGGTTGAGCCTCTGACTCTTGATTTCAGCTCAGGTCATGATCTCACATTTCATGAGTTTGAGCCCCACATCAGGCTCCGTGCTGACAGCACAGAGCCTGCTTGGGGTTCTCTCTCTGCCCTGCCCCCTTCCCTCCTGCTAACTGTCTCTCTCAAAATAAACGCACTTTAAAAAAAATGGGGGGAGGGCTCTCTATATAAGAAAGCTGGGAGCAACCAAAAGGAGGAGACTGTGAGCTGGAGAGGAAGCAGGAGGCATGGACAGAGGACCCTGCCCACCCTGCTCACCCAGGGTGTTGGCGATGCCAGTCTTCACGCTGGATGTACTGACGTGGCTGATTCGGTTCTCGTGCTCTGGCTTGACCAGCACAGCCACCTTGATGTTCCACAGTGACTGCATGGCAATCTGGTAGAGGGTTTGGGGTCACTCCGGCCCTGGACCGGGGCCACTGTCCGCATTCCCCTCCCACCCCCACCTACACTACAGACTGTTCCGTCAGTCATAGGATAGGAAGGTCTCCTCTACCCCTTTTTCCTGAGGTGCCAGAGAGAAACACAGCACGTTCCCATAGCATGAAGGACTCGGGTTAGACCTCCTAAAGGATATGCCCAGGGACCAAGGGAAAAGCCAGTCAAGTTGTACTCCCCAGGGTCACCCATGAGGTGAAGCAGGATAGTTTGGGGTGGTGTGTGAGGAGGGGGACTGGACAAGATGACTCCCTCACCGGGCGGTAATCCAGATCTGTGAGCTCCTTGAGGCCCCCGCGTAGTAGGTCCAGCCACTCGCGGTCGCCCACCGAGTTCTCCTGGGTCCCAAAGACATAGATGTCATGGGGTATGGTCACTGTGACTTCATCCAGGGTTTTCCCTAGACCCTTCGATGTGAACCAAGATGTCACGTTTTTCGGAGGTGGTACGCTTCCTGGAGGCGAAGGGGATGGGGGTGGTCAGGCCCTTGACCTGGGGCTACTCCTCTCTCCCATCCCAGCCCCAACCTGGGCCTGACCCATATTCCAGGTGCCTATGAAGACAGAGATCATGTCGGGCTCATCTTGCTTCGAGTGCTTGTTCTTCATGAGCTGCAGCAGCTGGCAGAAGGCCTCCCGCTTCTGGGGGGACAGCAACTAGTTAGGGGAGGTCCCTGGTAGGTGGTAAGTCCCATGAGGTCATGCCTGTGAGTTCACTGCATATCCACTACTCAAACAGACAACAGGTGCTCAATAAACGCTCACTGAATGACCATTTGACTCTGCCCTCAGGCCACCCATTTTCAGTACACATACTCTCTACCCTGTCAGACCCACTCCTGCCAAGAGGGATGACCGGCCTACATCACGTGTTCCCTCTCTTCCCATCCCACAGGGGACCCCTGCAGCCCCCAGGGCCTAGCCCAACATGCCACTCACCCGGGCACTGACAAAGATGAAGTCCTTGCGCTGCGTCCGATCCTTCTCCTTCTCAAACACAACTCCCAGCTTGTTCTGGACACGCTGGGACTTAATGAGCTGGCGGACTAGGGGATGGAGGATGGTTACACTGGCCTGTGCACCAAGGCCTGGAGGCCACCCTGCCCACCACCCCAGGTTGCGCCCTGGCTCACTGCGGTCGTGTGTGAAGGTCGTCCAGTCCTCCTGTGAGTCCCGCTGTCTCCGCAGCAGCACCAGCCTCCCACCCTCCACATCCACGCTCAGCGTGAACTTCTGTGACTTCCCAATCTTGGTCAGGTCACCCAGGGTCACATCCAGCTTCACCTGCAGGTCAGGAGGTGTGTAGGCTGCTGAAAAGACCTCGGGGCAGGCGACACCCCCTTCATCTCCAGCTGCTCTTTGGCCCATGAGGCCCCACCTGTCACCCCTCCGTGTACCTCAAAGGCCTGCACGGGGATGGTCTTGGCCTTACGTATGGATGGCTGCAGCGGCGCCGGCGGGGCTGTGGAGCTCATGTCCTGCAGGGCCTTTAGGGCCTGGAGTGGGGAAGGGCAGGGAAGGGCGGGCAAGGTCAGGGGACATGCTGAAAGCTGGGGCCAGGGGGGACACAGTTGATGTGGGATCAATGCTAAACTGTAGATTCAGAGTTGAGATCAGTTAGGCCAACGCAAATACTCAGAGACTGCTAGGTCAGGTCAGAGGTCAGGGTTAAGGCTACCTTTTTCTGGATGCCTGACAGAAAATCCTTTAACACGGACAGCTTCAGCACCAGGCTCTCTAGTTCCTGCTCCCCAGTCTGTGGTGGATTCTGCACAGAGAAAGAATAAGGTTTGTAACATGCGGCCACCGCGCAGGAGGTCCCCCACCCAACCCGGAACATGAACCCCTTCCCCACAGATCTCCTCACAATCCCACCTGCTGCTGCAAAAGGCGGGTCACCATGGGAGAGCTCTGCTGGTCAAACACCTTGGACAGGATCTCCAGGCCCGACAGGACCTTGTCCACCTCACTAGGGGAGACAGTAGGTCAGAACTCCCTACCCCGACCCAAGTATGGGGAAGGGGGGCTGAGTGTGCAGCTTCAGCCTCTACGATGAGGATACGAGGGTTCAGGTGAGGACAAGTCAGGAGGCAACAGCTGGCTCCCTGTTCAGGGCCAGAGATCAGAGGTCAGAGCATTTGTGCAGCAAGGGGGCAGGCGAGGACAGGTCAGAGGAGAGGCTGCATGCATGGTGTTGGGTGCCCCAGGTACCTGTGCAGCCTCCGGCAGGAGGTGGCCAGGGTGCGGGTAAGATGGGGCAGGTTGCTGGCTCCACCTCGCACAGCCTCCAGGTCCAGTCCGTAGCTACCCTTCAGGTACTCGTGCGAGACAGTACTCAGCCCATTGGGAGCACTTCAGGGAGGGGTTAAAAAGTCAGTGAAGAATCTGCTGACCCTGTCCCAGCACCGCCACCCTATCCCTAGAGGAGATAGTACTGGTAGCAATTGGAGCACCATGGATCAGGGAGTCTACCTCTGGGGCTGAGATGGGATGAAGGTCCCTAGGGGAGGAGTGGGGGCTGGGAAGGTCTCTCTACCTTTGATGAGGACAAGTTCTCAGAGGAGAAAGGGAATTCCTGTTCGGCGTAGGGGGTTGCGGTCTTACCTCTCAGCAGCTGGAGTTGTGGGAGTCTCAGGGGCTGCTGGGGGGCTGCCGGGCCCCATGGGGGCAGAAATACTGGTGGAGCCAGAGCGTGGGGGCAGTGGGGGCTTCTCATCCTCCCCATCTGTGGACAGGAGTCAGTGGGGCAGCTGTTTGGGCCTCCCCATTCTCATTGAAGTATGGGGGGATGCTGTGGCTATCAGAGACTTCCATGGAGGTGGGGTAAAGGGCTCTGGCATCATGGTTAGGGGCAAGGGGCTTTAGGGCAGGCAGGTTGAGAAGATGCGATGGGAAGAAGCAGGTGGTGTCTGGGGAAGGGACAGAGAAGACATATGCACATGGCACAGCAGGCAGCACCTGAGGCATCACGGTCGTCCGGTGGGTCTGGCTCTCGCTCCCGCTCCACAGGGAGCAGCAGGGCGCACACAAGGCCCTGGTTGGGCTGGGCATACAGGCCGATGAGCTCACCCAGGGTCTGGAAGCGGCGCACGGGCACGCCCTGCGAGGTCTGCGAGCAAGCAAGGGTGGGAGAAAAATCAGCCAGTCACAGGCTGGAATCAAGGTCAGGGGTCGGGGTCCAAGCTCCTACCTGCACGGCCAGGAAGTCTTCTCCATCAGGTAGAATTCTGTATGTATGCACATGCTTCTGATATCTGATAACAAAGCAGGGGTCAGAATCTGTCGCCCCCAAGCTGGGGTCTAAGCCCCAAGGTACCCTCTCCTCCTGCCACCAGGCTCAGCCCCCAGCCCACTCAGGTTAGTTTTCCTAAAATCCTTTACTCAGTCCACACAGGGTTAATGATGAGGCCAGTCTACTTCTAGCCTGCTAGTGTTGCCAACAAGAGCAGGAATGACCAGCAGCATCCCCCCCGCCCACCCCAGCCAGACCTACATAGGCTCCACACCCACCACAGGGCCTGGGAAGCAACAGGCAGCTCTTTTGTGGCCTCCACAGCTGTCTAAACAGCCCCTCGGGCTGTGGTACCAGCTCTGGCCCCCCGCCAGAGTAAGAATCCTCAGAAGCTTGGTAACCTCTGTTTGCATGCATAGGCGATGTGCTAACACACGTGTGTCCCTGCTGTCTGTGTTTACGTTGGTGTCTGTCTCTACTGGAGCTGGCTGTGTCAGGGGCCATTTTTGCTAGGGAGTATGCGGGTATCCCAGCTTCTGTCCCCCTTCCCCAGATGCCAGGAAATTGGGATGACCCAAGGGGTCCCCTGTGGCAGACCCAGGCTTGTAAGAGCCCCAAACTGAGGAGGGGCAAGAGGGGTACTGACAGGTGGCAGCAACAGCTGAGCAGGTGACAGCTGAGCCAGGCCTGGGCAGCATAGGCCACACTCAATGGGGGCAAAGACTCTCTCTTGCAGCCATACCTCAGGTAGGCTTGCTCAACGGTGCCACCCGGGTCCATGTGTGTGCTGGGCAGGAGGGGGGCACTGGCACCAGAGGACCGAATGCCTGTTTGAGGAGACCCTACACCTTGGCCACAGTCCATCCCCCACCTCAAGTAAGCCCCCTTTGGGCACTCTCCTGGATGCTGACGGGGCAACATTATGTGCGGGTGTCTTTGTGCACTGGTTTGTGGACTGTGGGTCTGTATTTATAACACTAGCATCCCATGAACTGAGCCCTGTCTGCATGACAGGCTAGGTACTCAACACCCCACAGATGTGATCTCATTTAATCCTCACATTTTGGTACAGATATGAGCACCAACCCCATTCTCCAGAAGAGGAAATAGGCTCAAAGAGGAAAAGTGATTTGCCTTGCTTTTAAGTAAAAGGCAGAGCTGGGACTTAAAGCCAGGGCAGAGCCCAGTGCCTGTATCCCGACCTGCCGGTCAGATTGCCTGTGTCTGTTGGAGCAGGGGTGTGTCCGGAAATGTTACCCACCTACAGGTAAGCAAGTATGTTTCTCATCACCTACCCCCAGGCTTCTATCCCATTTCTGACCCCTCCCCCCATCCCCGGGCTGTAGAGATGCAAGGAGGAGCCAGAGTCAGCTGGCAAAGCCAAAGCCCCTGACACAGACAGACCCTCACTCCACCCATCTCCTCCCCTGGCAGTGGAGTCTGGGCTCTCCCCTCCTGGGACAATAATGTTCCTCCCCTAGACACAGGCCCAGCTGTCCCCCTCCCACTCAACAGCTGACCCAGCACCTGCCTCCCTCCCCTCTCTAATTAGGGGATATGCCTCAGAGGGGGCTGGGAGGCAGGACTCCATGATATTTATCTGCGGAAGCTGTCCCTTGTTAGTCTCTCCTACTGGACGTCAGACTTGGTGCATAAGCTGAGATTTAGGGGACCCCTTCCTCTTCGTCTTCCAGTCCACTGCCCAGGCCGGGGTTTCTCAATGCCAACATTACTAAAATTTTGGACTGCATAGTTCTTTGTTGTGAGGGTCTATCCTGTGCATTTTAGGATGTGTGGTGGCATCACTGGCTTTTACCCACTAGATGCCAGTAGCACTATATCCCACTTGTGACGACCAAAAATGTCTCCAAACATCGCCAAGTGTCCCTGAGGGGTAAAATCAACCCCAACTGAGAACCACTGGCCTATGCCCATGTACCCCCAAAGAAGTGAGGAGAACAGAGGGGTAAGGGACAGAACGACAGGGGTTTGGGAGGGTTCACGAGGCTGAGGAATATTACCAGATCCTAACAAGGCCCACAGGAGCCCACCTAGTATCAGACCACGGGGCGCAGGAGACAGCTCAGGGAGAAGGCTCCAAACATACCAAACGCACCCGGCACCACTGCCACATACAGCTGATGGGTACAGGCACAGGATGAGATCCGTTCGGAGAGCTGCCAAGTCTGGCTCCACATTCAGCACCCATAGCTCAGGGCTAGGGCAGCCAGGATGCCCAGGACTGGGGCCCAGAGCCAGGGCACATGAACGCGCCCATTGATTCATGAAATAATGACATGGCCCCATATAGCCTCACATCCCCTTTTCTCAACACCACTCTGCTCCACCAGCCCCAGACATCTACCGCCAGGCAGGTCCCAATTTCAGTCCTGGCAGCACAGGAAGCTGCTGGGCATCCTCACATATCCATCAGTCTCTCTGGCCCCAACTCCCTCTATGCCTACAGCCCTTAACACCCAATCCCTGTATAAACAGAACTGCATATAACACCGGAACACACATCCACACATCCTCACTCCCTCCCGCCCCTCCTGCCTGGAGGGTGCCTGAGGGGGTCTGCCAGAGACTCCCTGCATTTTTCCCTATTACAGCCACCCTGTTTAACAGGACCCCACATACTCTGCCCTCCCTGCCCCAGAAAGTGTCCCCAGACACAGCAGGAAGGAAGTGCCCCCTGCATCCTTCCTCAGTCCCGGCTTAAAGCCAAAGCTCTCACTGTGGAGGGCTCAGACGTCCCACTGTCCCAGGCCCTCCGCGCACATGCCCCCGCCCGCCAGGAGCCCCAGCCCACTCACAGGACACAGAGCGCGAAAGCTCCCGCCACGCTCTCGCTGTCTCGGACCAGGAAGCTGCCATCGCGGCCTGCCCGGGCCAGCAGCTCCTCGGCGGCAGCTCGGCTCAGGTCGCGGTGGTACCAGGCGGGGGCCGGGCTGCCCAGCGCGCCCCCGGGCCCCGCACCCCCCGGGCCCGGCGCCCCGCAAGCCGAAGCCATGGCGCGGGCAGGGCTCAGCGCCTCCCGCGCCCACCGCCCCGCGCCATCCGCCCCGGGACGCTCGGGGCTGAGGCTGGGGGCGGGCCCGGGCCCGGGCCCTGAGGATCCGCGGACCGGACCGGGCTGGATGTCTGGGGCTCCGCGCTCTGCGGCGCAGGCCGCCTTGTTCGCCGCGCCGCCGCCGCCGCCGCCGCCTGCAGCGCCGGCCTCAACTTGAAGAGAAAGAAAAGTTTGTTCAGAGGCGGCGGGGGAGGGGCAGGAGCGCAGCGCT